CTGCATGGAGGCCTGTAGGGTCCCCTTGGCCCCGCGTGCATGGAGGCCCCATAAGGCTGCATGGAGGCCTGAAGGCACCCCCTAACCCCATGCACATGAAAGTGCCCGGGACGCCGCATGGAGACCTTTAGGGGCCCCCTGGCCCCGTGAGCACCACTGCAATGAAGTTTCACACTCTTTAGCAAAGCTCTTCCACCAAACTTTCTGTCACTCTGCATTTGCYTCACTCTTCCTTCTTTTCACCCTCTATTAGGATTTGATAGAGCCCCTTTGGAGTCTACTAATTTGAAAGAAACTTTCATTATTTGGAAATGTCATGCAGCCCCACAACACAGCCTCTACGAGACTCTTCGCTTTCACTAGAATGAGGAACTTTCCACAGCAACAGGGGTAAAATGCTGCAATGGAGATATTCAGGAGTCCCCAGGCCCAGAGCATCCTCCGCTCTCCAGCCTCTCTTCTCATCTTCATGGTCTTCTCCAGGAAGGCAATTGCTGAAACCTCTTCGGCTGCTATGGTCAGCAACAAGAGGGAGACAAACATAGAAGTGCTTTAGACAAGATCCTCACTCAGCACCAGACTTAGAAGAACAGCAAGAATCAAAAACAAACTGGATAAAAGGACTTCACCGTTAGGAGCTCTAGGTCCTGATTCACGAGTGGTGAGCAGTACTTTTTCCAGCAATAGCTCTCTTGCAAACCCTGTAAGCTCTGTCATCCGTGCCAGGGAGAGCACATCTATTTGCTCCAACGTTGTCGCAGGGCACAGGATAGCATTCCCATTCTGAGTGTACTCTTGAAAACCAACATTTTGCAGGAAGCCCAGGCAGCGCCACCTTCCTCTTTCCCATGGGAAATACTCTCATTCTGGGAGGCCTTGCGAGAAACACGCCCAGTCTGCACAGCTGCCTCCTGCCACCTCTGCACTTCTACGTCCGGCCTCGATGCCCCCACAAATTATACACGATGCATCCAATGCTGAGGACTTTTCCTGAGCCTCGTGTCCCCACAAGACACTCCCAAACCTCTTTCCAAACCCCTGTTGATGGTTTAGAAATGCCTCGGGTGCATCACTGCTGAATAGGAACATAAAACTACAAAGTAACTTAATWGAAATAGTGGCACTTTGGAGAGGAAAAAAAAAAAAAGGGAAAAAATGACCTGCTCTTTGCCCCATGGTGACAACAGGGAGGAGRCCAATCTGAGAGATAGAGGCATTTTCCTACTTTTATGCCCTCAGTGAGCCCTGGCATCTTTTCAAGTTCTGGGATGTTGGGAAATTCTTGGAGCAGGCCAAGGACAAAATCCCAGGAAAGAGACTCTTCTCCAAAGCTCTCCCAAGTGCTCCCTCTTGCCCCACATACCTTAGAGGCAGCAGCAGCAGCAGCAGCAGAAGGCAGAGCACAGAGCAGCAGCCCCACACGCTGACACTTGGACCTTCTCCAGAAGGCTGATGCCTCTGTCTTGTGTTTTCCCTCTGCAAGGTGTGCTGATGGCAGGGATTGACATCTTTTGTGTGGTGCAAGAGCCACTGTGGCTGGGGGCAGCAAAAGTGCTGATGGTCTGAAGAACCATCTTCAAGCTAGCCAGGAACCCAGCCTGGCAACAGTGGCTGAAATGCCCCGAAGTGATTGACTTCCTCATGTCACCTATGGTGGGCACTTCCCTATGGGATGGAGTTGCAAAGATGGCACTCTAGAAACGGGCACTCTTCCCTGAGCTGCCCTAACACCTGGCTCCAGCCACCCACGTTCGCTGAGGTCCCTGCAATGGGACCCTGGCCAGCTGCAGTGCTGACCCTACTCCTCTTCCCTGCAGAGAACATCAAGATCAAGCCCTTGAACTTCCAGCATTTGAGCCAGGCCACTTCCCTGTGATGGCCTGTGGTGGAAGACTGTGTGGATGAGACCGTCATCCTGTTCTGGTCTCACCTGAAGCACCAGGAGAATGTCTCCTTTGTCTTCAAGGATATCTGGGTCCTGGGCCACGAGGGAGACATAGTGAGGATGAAGATTTTTGGCAGCTGCATCCAGCAGCTGGAGACCACTGTGAGTCTCGCTGCAGCCCTACACAGTGTGAATCCCTCAACCTGCCAGGCCCACAACCATTTCTGTGAGCATCCTGCCACAGGAAGMGCCCCATGATCTCTCTTGACCTGCTGGGGGCCTGGTGGGATAATCCAACATCTGCAGCAGTGYTTGGCCCCACCATATTCTACACTCATAGAGAAAGCATCTCCCAAACTCCTTGAGCCCTCTCACTACAGCCTGGCATGGCTATTAGCCCCTCTCCCATCCTTGCTGGGCAGCCTGTGTGCACCAGAACSAGGGGCTAAGGTGCATGGCAGAGGGCTGGCAAGAAGTCTTASTGCGGCAGGCTCCCCTTGGAGCAGGATCAAGGGCTGCTGCCTTGGGCAGCAGGCATCAAGCTGCCAGGCCAACTTCCCACTATGTCTGTCCACACTGCAGAGACTCTAGGCTCAAGGAACTGCTGGTCTCCACTCCCTCAACCAACTTTCTTATATTCTCTATGTCAAATCTAACTTAAAAAATGTTGCTCATTGCACAGCCATAACTTGGAGCAGATTGTTCAGAGAGAATTGCAGGGCACAGTGTATTGTTTGTGTGTCTCCTTTCCTTACTCCGTTATCTCACATTCCTAGGAAGAAGACATGACATTAACATACATGATATATCAGAACATGTCTTCCACCAACTATGTTAAAAGGTTGCTAGGAGAGAGAAGGAGTTGGGGAGGGGAAGACAGAAAATGGAAATGCCTGGAGTTCTCTATCCTTCCCTTCTCCACACCCTTTCCTTGCACTTTAATCTTCTGGCTTCACCATTCTCAGACCTCTTCTCAAGTACTTGCTGTCACTTCCGTTTTCCTCAACTCCAGCAGCATCACCRTAAATTTGGGAAAAGATTTTATTCTCCAGGGGTTCCCCAGAGGAAAACTCTCCAAGGACTTCCAAGCAAATAAAGATCTATCAAAACACCTCTGTGACAAACATATTTCACATGTGGATTTATTCAAGGTTAAGAAAATGGCATGTGAATAGAACTGTGGTAGAGAAATAGGACTAATCAAGGGTAAGTGATGGAAAACTAGAAAAAAATTGGAAAAGATCTTTTTGCACAGTCTCTCTTGATAAGTATTTTTTTCCCTCTTAGTTGGTAAAGGTGTGGTGATAACTACAGGTTTTGATGTTTATGGAAACATGAACCCTTGCATGGATATTCCTTAGACTCGTAGAACCATTGTGGTTGGAGAAGACCTTCAAGATCATTGAGTCCAACCATAAACCCCTCAACCCCATCCCTGTCAAACCATATCCCTAAGTGCCTCWTCTACATGTTTCTTGAACACTGCCAGGGATGGCAACTTCAGCACTTCCCCGGGCAGCCTGTTCCAATGCTTGACTACTCCTTCTGCATGTAAATTTTTCCTAATACCTAACCTGAACCTCCCTTGACGCAGCTTGAGTCATTCACAACAATTACTCCTCTTTTATTCTTAGTAGAGGGGTCTTAAGGTGCAGGATTGACTGTCCATATTCTCTCATAATATACCAGCAACAGCAGTGAAAATATGTCCTTGGTTGCATTTTCTTCTGGGGTTTCTCATAACAGCACAATTTATTCAAGTGCAACGTTTACAAAGCAGGTTTCAGATGTCTGTACATGAATTTCTCCACTACTCTGCAGAGTTCTTGGCTAACTCTAATGTAACAATTAGCAATAACTACTCCCCAAGAAGATGGGAGAGATCTGTCAACCTCCAGGAGTCTCCTCTTCAGGTGGCATCTGCCTCAGCTTTCAGCAAGTTGCGGAGTGGCTTCTGCTGCCCTAGCCACCCCAGCAGTCCCTGATGGGGTCCCAGCCCTCCTTCCGTCCCACTTGGTGAAGGTGGCAGCKGTGGGCCCTGGGGCTGGAACAAGCAGTGGCTGGTGCTGGAGCTGGAATGAGTCACAGGTGGGGCTGGGAGTTGATGGCTCTGGCAGCAGGTGGGCATATCCTATGGCTGAGATGGAAASTGAGGGAAACAGTGCAACCCAGGAGTTGCTGCTGAGTAGCTGCTGCTGGGCCTTGTGCTGGAGGAGGTGAGTGAAGCTGGAGGTGCATGCTTGGGGCTGGAGGTCCTGCCCATGCTCGGGATCCCAGGAAATGCAGCCTGCTTTCCTGSGATAAGGAAGCTGACMCAGGGCCAGGAATGGTGTTGTCCTGTGAAAGTGGGGCCTGAGGACCTGGTGGGCGAGAGAGGTGCCTCAGGCCGTGGAAGAGAGGGGAGAAAGGGTGTGCGCCGGGTGGGCGCAGCAGGGAGGCGGRGGCAAGAAAGGGAGCCTGCCGGGGCTGGGCTGGGGTGAACTGGGCACTCCTTGTCCCAGGCAGGACTTGGTTGTTGCTCTCGGGCTTCTTTGAGTTGCTCTCTGGTCTGCAGAAGATGCATTTAATCTGTACTAGATTCTCCCGGAAAGTATTGTTGTGCTATCTGTTCTCTTGGTCCTTCTGTCTGTTCTCTTGGTCCTGCAGAGCTCCCCAAACACCTTTGTTTTACTCTAGAGTGTTCTTCGGGTGCTTCTTTTTGTGCTCTAGCTTGATTTGGGCCCTTTAGTCTTGTTGGACCCTCTAGTCTCTTCAAAACCCCTTCCTGATGCCTTAGTTATGCCCTGGAGACTTGTGTTGGTTCTCTGGCCTTGTTAGCACCTCTGTGGTCTCCTCATGTACATCCTCCACCTGGAAATAAAGAGCTAGGACTCAGACTCCTCTGGGAAGCTACCACTTCCATTCTGCCCATCAACAGCTTTTTGTTTTTTTTAAACTTTTTTTCTTTTCTTTTTTTTTTTTTACTTTCTAATTTGACCTCAAGAGTTTCAATGACATTAATTGGATTTGGCTGGGCTTTCCAGGTAGAACCAAATAGATGCCAATTTAAATAGATTGTAGCTAGAAAGATTTTTATTCCAACTTGTTCTAGGTGCAGGGCAGCTGTGTGTGTTCCCTATTGGGAAGTAGCTGTGTTACAGAAGCAGCCCCGTTCCGGCAGGTTAGCTTGATATGCTGGGTTGCCCTGGTGGGACTGCCGTCCTGCTAGAGCAGCTGTAGCACATGCAGGCTCGAACCTGCTTCAGCACCTTGGGATGATGTACCCGTTGTAGCAATATTTCTGGACCCTGAATGTGGTTGATGCCAATGTGGCAGGAGGAATGTAAATGGACTGTTAAAAGGAGTAACAAGGAACCTTGAATCGGGAGTTACCTGTTACAAACTGGAGCTACAAAAGAAGGGGCTGTCTGCCTTGTCAGCAAAACCTGGAAGAACCGCCCCACAACCAGGTGTTCTTGGGAAGCGTCTGCCCTAGGGGCAAGGTATGTTCTGGTCGGGGCAGTGCAACCACYGACTCGGTCACTGATGTCTCGACTCAAGAAAGCCTCTGTCTCGGGGGAAAAAAGAATAGCAGTGCATGTGTGGTTACTTTAAAGGTACTTACCTTTTCAAAGATTATTAGAAAGTGAGAATAGCAAAGCCATCCTGTAGTAGTTAAATGATGAAAATGATTTAAACCTAAATGATTTAAATTATATCAAGAGGCTAAATATGCAGGGTAAGTATTAGGTATCAATCTATGAAGAATTTATTATTTTTCAGCTTTTCATCACACTGTTGGGTATGGAGAATTTCAATGYGGCAGTGCTAAATTCCTACAAACTAGCCGGCTTGTCTGCAGCAAAGACCTTCCAGTGGATGTTCGCTCTTGCCTGTAGAGCCTTTCTGCAATGTAAATCCTGCTGCCACAGCCGTTAAGGACTAGAGGGCCTTAACACCTAAGCTAAGCAGCTGAGAGCTGCAGGGGTGGGCAGCCCCGTGGAACGAGGATTCTCTTGCTGCTTCTGTTCTCTCTCGCTCTTGGGAGTGCTGGTCTGCAGGAATCACACAGAGCCTTTGCTTTGCTTTTGGTGCCTCCGTTGGTGGCTCGGAAGGTTGTCATTGGTTTCTGCAGCTTAACCAACACCTTGAGAAAGGGCTGACAATGGCACTCGTGGAGGTGTGCAGATATCAGCAGGCACCAGCAGTCCTTGCACAAGTTCACTGCACAGGTGAGCAGCTTCATGTGTGTTGTGTCTCCCCACYGTCAGTTGCCTTGTGTTTCATTGAGGGAGCTGGGGTTATTTTGTGTGGAGAGGAAGAGGCTCTGAGGAGACATTATTACCCTCTACCACTGTCTAGAAGGAGGTTGTAGTGAGGCTGGAGTTGATCTTTTCTCCAGAATAACTGCAGGTAGGACAAGAGGAAATGGACTCAAGTTGTCCCAGGAGAAATTCAGGTCTGACATTAGGAAGAATCTCTACATGGAAAGAGCAGGCAAGCCTTGGAATAGGCTGCCAGGAGAGGTGGTGGCATCATTCTCCCTGGCAGTGTTGAAGAAACTTGTAGATGAGGTGCTTGGGGCCATGGTTTAGCAGGATGATGTGAAGGGTTTACAGCTGGACTCGATGAACTTGTAGGTCTTTTCCAACCATAATGATTCTATGATCCAGCCAGTAATACTGAGTTAGGTGTTCACTGCTCCCTCTTGGTTTCTAGATCACACACAACTCTGGTGCTTTGTCATGAAGTTGGCACAATTTGGCACCAGATTTGGTTTCAACTTTCTGATGATGATCGAAGAAGATGAAGATTTGTATCAAAGATCAGTCGTGAGTATAATAGGAAGACAAATGTAGTCATGCTTTTTCCCCTGAAGGCTGCTTATCCCTTTTAAAAATCATTACTATCAGACCTTGCTATAAGTTGGCCGACTAAATTAATCTAAAATTAACTGATGTTTTTCCGCTCTAATGCGGAGTACCCCTTCACATGAGGAAGAAATTTTGTGTGAGGGAAGCAATGGTGTGTGTGTGTTTATGAAGGAGATTTTTCTGACCTTGTTCCAATCTTATTTTTCAGATACTCTGGAATGTAACTCTGAGCAGGGCTGGAGCAGCCATTCGACAGGGCCTTGTGAGTATTACTTYTGCTATCCGAGATAAATATCTCGGATATTGTCACCCAGCCTCGCTTGCCAGCCTCCATCCGGTGGATGGCAGCACGTTCTGTGCAGCCAGATGAAAGGGGCTCTGTTGCTGGTGGCCGGTCCTCTCTGCAGCCCTCGTCGTGGCCCCATCAGCCGCTGCTCCAGCCTCTTGTGCCTCMCAGGTGGCCTCTAATGGTCTATATTTTCTATTGTCCAAGCTTTGGGTATTTTTTTTCCTAGCTCCTCAGCAGTGAGCTTGGCTTTGTGAGCCTCTTCTCCTAGGGTCAGTGGCATTTGACGAACGCTGGGCTAGCATGGAGCAGCAGAGCYGCCGGGTTGCGCTGCTGTAGCAGCGTTCATCTGGCAGTATCTTCTGTGCTGCAGGTGCTGCGTGTAGCCTGTCTGTGCAACTGTGTGTGGCTGTGCGAACTGCCTTGGTTGTCAGCATGGAGTAGTGCGTTCTTGGATTCATGTCTGGGGGATCTATCACTACATTTAATGTGTGTGTGTGTGTGTGTGGCATCTGGGTTTTTTTTTCTTTTAGTAGTTCTTTCGGAAATGGCGGCTGAGGCGCATGCGCCCCAGAAGAAGTGATTGCGCAGGTGCCCGTGCCTGGGAGGGCGCAGCGCATCAGTGAACCGAAAGCGCATGCGCAGTGCGCTCCTCTGCGCGCAGTGCTGCCATCCCACGCATTGGAGGTGATTCTGCTAGGGGAAGGGAGCCGCGCATGCGCAGCGCGCTCCTCTGCGCGCAGTGACACCGCGATGGGGAAGCAACGGCTCACGCCGCGCAGCGCGTGCGCTGCCCCCTACTCAGGGCTGCCACCGCGGGTCCACAAAGCAGCTCTGCAGACGCACGGCGAGCGGGTGCCCTGCGCTGCCGCCCAGTAGCTGCTGGTCTTGTGCATCTCGAAAGCACAACCGCAAGCGAAGGGCCGCAGCGCGCCCGTTCTGGCAGCTGCCCCAGAGCGGTGCACGCCATTTGAGGCTCCTAGAAGCAGCAGGATTTTCAAGGAACTTGTCTAAGCGAAAGTATAAAATGAAGGGAAAATTACCTGGAAAAGAATTAGAACTTCCTGCATTTTCACATGAACRTTGTCTTACAAAGTGACGGCATAAGAAAGTTGTGCTGCTCTGTTACTTGACCTGTAAATTGCATCAGAACAAGCAAAAATGAGATCATCCCAAACAAAAAGACAAAATTTCTCTTAACTGGAAAAGTTTTGGGGGAAAAAAGGAGGGGAGGGTTGGAGCTGAACACAGGAATGCTAGTTTCTCTGCTCTTACTCTCCTGGCTGTTTCATCCTTTTAGTCCTCCTTCCTCCATCCCCCTGTCTCTAACATGCAGGAACTGAGACCTCACCTTCCTACCTGCTCACACCTGCTTGTGCTCCAGAAATGCACCCATCCTTAGCTTCCCCCTTCCCAGGAAGTAACGCCCTCCAGCTCATCCCAAAACCAGTGTTCTCAACAAGCAGCCCTGCTTGCTGCTTTTGCTGCAGATCCCGTATCTAAAAGCTTTCCTCCTTTCTTTGCGACTGCCAAGCCAATCTAGGAACTGTATTGCCTGGGCTCTGCTCCTCGGGTGACTCAGGTGGCCAGTGCAGGCCATTTGTTCCATTACGGACATTACCTTTAATGCCACAATTGTCAGCTGAACACTTGCAAACTTCTGGCTACTGAAAAACGGCTGCCTAAAGGTGAGAATCCTCAAGCAGCTGGTTTCTTCCAATAGTGCCACTTGGGAAAAAGAAATAGACATCTAAGGCATGCAGTTCTGCAAAGGACTGCTGCAGAATTTTAGTCTTCTATTTCCATGGTTGGTGAAACTGTGGAGAGAGCACTTGAATGGCCATGGAAGAAGAGGACTTAACAAAAACAGTTGGTACTGGCTGAGTCTGGTTGGAATGAACCTCTTTGACTTGAGACTGGAAAAGACAGAGCGCCAAGGCCGTTGCAGTGCTCCGGGTGAGCCAGCTGAAATTTCTGTGCTAGTGAAGGAAAAACTGCAGTGCTGCAGCAAGGACTGTGAATAGCACAACTGCTCAGCAAAAACCAATTCAGATTTATTGCTGTGATCATGCTATTTTTTCTGTATGTGTTCTGGATATGTTTTATAAAAAGCCCTTAATCCTTGCTTAGACAATGTTTGTTCTAATTAATTAGGTTTTCTTTCTGAATTAGCAAGTAAATTGCAATTTGTCTTAGGAGCAAGTCTTGAGATGCGGATTTTCCTCTGCAGAACTGTGTCTCTATAGGAGCAATCTCCAAACAGCAGTAATAGAAGCATAATTAGAAAAGAATCCTTCTCCTCTCTTAGCTAAACATCCCTGAAGACAAAGCAAGCAACTACATTCTCCCTTCTGGCTTTGCTCTGCAATTAGAAGGTTTCTTTCCTCTCATCTTCCCCCATCTCCCTCCAACCTGGCCCTTCAGTGAAAGTCAAACAAGCAAAAGCCTCCGAATAGCGGTGGGGATTATCAGCTCCCTATGGCCTCCAATGAGATGAATATTAAACCCAACAGCAAAATCCCACCTGCTTGTCTTTGCGCAGGAATTTGGAGAACACCAATATTCCTGCATTCACAGTAGATTTAAACTCGCTTACAAAAATCTTGCCTTTCTTCTGTTTTCCTATTCGATAAATCAGAATGTTCCCTCAGTTCGTGTCTTCTGCGGTCCAATGAGTTTCTCCGTAGCTTTGTGCTGAACATCCCTGTTGTCAAGTGTTGGACAATTCCAACTATTTCTGGTATTGTTATTTCACAGTCATTTTCAGCTCATGCATTCTTCACTTTAAAGTGCTTCCTTGCCTGAAACACGTAAGCACAAGTAAGGAGTAGATCATTCACGATGGAGCTAGACCAAGAGCTGGGGGCGGGGAAAGATATCTACATAGTTTTCTATAGTTTTGTACCTTTGTCGGACTTAAGTCTTTCCATTTCCCSTTGTGGGAGAAGAATGGACAGTATGAGATGGGACAGGGGTTGGATCTCTGCTCCAGGCCCTCTGTTTTTCTCCTTGTAGGTGAAAGAACTTTTTTTTCTGTGAGGGTGCAGGTTCACATGGGGCGTTTAAGGTAACCAAAAGCTGAACAAAATTATACCATTTTCTTATTTATCATTACTTGCATTGAAAAAAATTGTTTTTGTGTGCATATTTTGGCATTATTTTCTGGCACAGATAAAAGGAAGCAATGAAAGGATGATTGACATAATACAACTTACTCCTTCATGCTTTTCTTTATATACTTAACTGTCAAATATGATTTAGAACCATAAAAAAAAATGGAACACAAAACAGAAAAGAGAAAAGAGAAAATTCAGCTGTGCAACACTCTATACCAAAAATAAACTAGTGAGACTTCTCTTTCATAGCAGGTTTCTCAGGAAATAAGCTTTGTTCTTAATTCCTGATAAGCAATTATTCTTTTTCCCCATGCTTGACCCAGCTGCTGCAGAACTGCATTTAATGGAATACGAGATGTTCAAGTACTGTCATGCAGGAAGCTTTTCTAGATGCAACAGATTCCCCAGGGCTTCTCATGGCTCTCAGAAGTCTGAGAGCGCTTAAGTTCTCTCTCTGTGTGTGTGTGTTCTCCATTTCATGCTTTTTATATTGCTGCTCTTTTAATTCCTCTAGCCAACACCAGGAGGGACGTGTCTCCTCAAAGAAGGATGGAGTTTCTCTTCTTTGCAGGGGGAAACAGCTTTAAATTGCATCTATATCTTGCTTCGACTCTCTGCTTACACGTTGTACTTCTCTCTGGCTTCACCTAGGGAAATGAATCTTAGAAGACAGTATTGCTTCTTTCCCTTTCCCGGCATGATGGCAGGTAGATGATGACAAAATAGATAAGACTTGCCCAAATTATAATCTCTAGGGCAAGAGTTGGGGGGGGAAGAGTGAAACTCTTTGAGGCTATATGAAACTGTTGGATTACCTTTTGAACCTTTGGAGAACAGGGGAGGTGCTGGAGGATTGGAAGAAAGCCAACATCACTCCGGTCTTCAAAAAGGGTAAGAAGGAGGACCTGGACAACTACAGGCCAGTGAGCCTCACCTCCATCCCTGGAAAAGTGATGGAACAGCTCATCCTGGCGACTGTCTCCATGTGTAGACACGTGCAGGAGAAGAAGGTGCTCAGGAGTGGCCAGCATGGATTCACCAAGGGGAAATCATGCTTGACTAACCTGATCRCCTTCTATGATGGAGTGACTAGCTGGATAGATGAGGACAGAGTGGTGAATGTGGTCTATCTGGACTTGAGCAAGGCTTTTGACACTGTCCCTCACAGCATCCTCCTGGGCAAGCTCCAAAGGTGTGGGATAGATGTGTGGACGGGGAGGTGGATTAGGAATAGGCTCGATGGCAGGGTGCAGAGAGTGGTTGTCAA